TGATGAAAGAGGAACTTGAGGGCTTTGGGCCATTCGGGGAGATTGATGTACAATAATGCTGATGGATAATCTGTTCCTTGTCCTTGTCCTCACAGCTCTGTTCAAAAGAGTTTGCCTTATGTCTGTCTCTTTCATTTATCTACATTTACATGATTGATGAAAGAGACAGAATAACAGGCATCGCAATGCTCAGAACCAGGGTGAAAAGTCTCTCTGGAATTATAAATACATTTCAACCATTTTATTCTAGAAACTTGTCACTACAAGCTAACTGCTTTCAGAAAATTCAAAGTAGAATAACTGAAGAATGTGTTACAGAATCTGTGACATTACTGCTTAGAGTCTGTCAAGATACTTGCTAGGAGTCTGTCAAGTGAATTAAGCTTTATTTGAAATAAATAAAAACAAAAAAACATGCACCTTCATCTCCTTAGGTAAAACATTATTTTGGCAGCAGCAAAGTCTCATTAATCCTGCTGCAAGATATGCTTTATCAGACATAGATTGCCTTTTCCAATGGGAGAACCTACAGATTTATTCCTGTTTGCGTTTGTGAAGTCATGATTGAAAAGTTAAGCAGGATCATGAGGACAGAAAGTCGTTTTTCAGAAGATTCTTGGCTCTTTCTTCATTGCTTTGCAATGAGGCGCTTTCCTTTCATACAAGCTGCAAACTCACTGTCAGCCTCCAATGTTTTTTCTCTTTCAGGACCACATCTACAAGCTGATGAAGAGTGACAGCTACCCTCGTTTCCTGCGCTCCAATGCTTACCAGGACCTCCTGCTGGCTAGAAAGAAGGTCAGTCTCAATCTCAAATCTCTCTCTGCCGCGTGTAATGAATCTGAATAATTTTTCTGCAATTTTGTTTTCAGTATCACTCAGTATTCTTTTGCACAAACCATTCAGTCATAAGAACAAAAATCAGTGTGCCCCTAGAGTACTGCAAGGGGAAAAAACTGTGGAAAAACAAAAGATACTGGTCATTTTCTGCCAGGACATTTTGCATTAAAGGAATAGTTCACCCCAAAATTAAAGTTGAAAATTAACATTTACTCACCCTCAGGTCATCCGAGATGTAGATTAGTTTGTTTCTTCATCGGAATAGATTTAGAGGTATTAATCAATACATCACTTGATCACCAATGGATCATCTGCAGTGAATGGGTGCCGTCAGAATGAAAGCCCAAACAGCAGATAAAAACATCATAATCCACAAGTAATCAACACGACTCCAGTCCATCAATTCATGTCTTGTAAAGTGAAAAGCTGTGTGTTTGTAAGAAACGAATCAATCATTAAGACATGATTTTGTCTTCAAACTGTTGCTTCCAGCTAAAGTACAAGACTTCAATCCATTATATTGCTTTCTCCCGTGAAGAAGTTGTCTCGTCAGAATCAGGAAAGAAATAGGCACATATCAAGCACTGTTTACAAGCAAAAACAGTCAAAAACACCCCTGAACAAATATGTAGATTAATTTTGATGTGAGAGGACAGGGGATGGAGTTTTTCACAGGAGGAAGCATTTTTGTTATTGATGGCACCCATTCACTGCAGAGGGTCCACTGGTGAGCAAGTGATGTAATGCAAAAATTCCCCAAATCTATTCTAACAAACAAACTTACCTGAGGGTGATTACATTTTCAGCACATTTTTCCAAGTCAGTTCTTTCTTAAGAGACAATATTTCAAGTCTTAGTTTCTTTTTGGCTAAAAACAACAGTCCTGAATTGAATCATTTCCTTTTCTTCACTTGCAAACGAGTGTTCAGTGTTCAGTTTGCACTTATTAAAACACACTAAGCCAACTTAATAGGTACTTATCATCAAATGGCCTACTTACTCTACTGACAACATGTAATGGCTAAACATGGGCACTTCAGTTCACTTCAGAGCCATTTTACAGTCTGATTGTGTCTCAGCCCCACTGTGATTATTTAAGATTAACATTAATCTTCCTACTTTTCTTTACTAACACATGTTAACCTGGTGTTGTGCACTGTATCTTCCCCATTCCCTTCCATTAACCTGGGCTCCACAGCCTGAGACTGAGCAAGGCCGCCGCACATCCCTGGAGAAATTCACTCGCAGTGTGGTGAGTGGCACAACGACCATCGCCAGTTCTTTTTTAACTTTAATTCAAAATGGGACTTTCTGGAAGGTAATCAGACCTGAAGAAACTGGGATATTTTCTGAGAACCATAAAGGGTTCTCAAAGGGTTCCATATATATATATATATATATTGTATGTATGTGTGTGTGTGTGTGTGTACTATTTGTTATATTTGGAATTTGCTGCTGAATATTATTAGTCAAATCCAAGACCACAATTTTTTAACTGGTTCTCTTTAAAAGACCACTTTTAATAATAACACAATTGTGTTTCAGGGCAAGTCTCTGACAAATAAACGACTGACAGGCCTCATGCAGTCCTCCTGACAAGTCCTGCTGTTTGCAGTTTGTTGAGGTGGAAGGATTGTGGCCATGACGGACCACATGCATGGACCACCCTCTCTCCAAAACCCACCCGAACACCGCACAGCTACCGACTCTAGATGGCAGCATGCAATAAGTCCAAACAAAAATCTCCAAACGGCGACAGTGCTGTCTGTGTCTATTAAACCAGTAACTGCAAAGACTGCATACATCAATGTCAGATTTCCCAGTACCATCTAGAGAACCATTTTACGTTTGATACTTATAACCAAACTGCAGCAAGGATAGGACTGTCTCGCTGGATTAACGATTCAAAATATTCATTGTCAGATATGAAATCAAGGTGTGCTGTAATCAGTCCAGTATGTCAACACTGAGCGTTCTGGTGAAGCGAGGATGTCTTTCAAATCTTCAGAGCATTCCAAAGGAGTGAAGAACATGACAAGGGCTTTCAGTGACTGTGTTCCCTCATTCAAGGTTTGCACAGAACTTTTCCTCATATACTTTTTGTTGGACAGTCACTGAATATGAAGAATGAAAGTGGAAATGAAGGGGTTTGGAAAAGCACATTGTTATTACTCCTGCCATTTTGAAGAAAGTATAATTATTTCTTCTGTCTACAGGCCGTGTTATACTCACCTACAGTATTAGCACATGAAACTTCTAACTGAGATGAGAAAATGACGAAGAGCTATACCTTTTAGACTCAGTTTTATTGAGGAATAAAGAGATATTGACCAGGATAATAAAAAGTGTTAGTATTTCAGGATGATTCAGAGCCCACAATATTGCTTTTGCACAAAAACTGCACCAGTGAGGAATGCTGGATCCCACAGATGCTAGTCCTGCTTGGTCAGTGTGTTTCCTGAACAGCTTTACAAGATCTCCAAATAACAACATTAAATTATTTAGGAACATCTATGGAGGACCATTTTGTCACATAAAAGATCATAATTGTGGCATTTCATAATTCTGAGAGAAAAAGTCAAAATTATGACATGCTAAGGCAATTATTAGATAAAAACATTGAAATGTATAACACAAAAAGTCAAAATTATGAGATACTAAGTCATAATTGACATAAAAATCATAATTATTACAAAGGTCAGCCTTCACTGTCATAATTATGATTTCATAATTGTGACTTAATATCTCATTTTGACGTAGTATCTCATAATTTTGAAACCAACACATTGGTCCATGTTGACTATGTTTGTCTTTGCTTTAATGAATGGTATTGTAAATTCTGTGTAGAATGTAAGCGCTTAATGTTGCTTTGTGTCAGTGTTTTGATTAGTATGATGATGATGATTTGCTCTGAGCACAAACATTTGGGGATCACAGCCCTTCACGTTCAACATATCAACAGTAGACAATGTTTTTGTGGGACTACCATCCATTAGAAAGGAGTTTTTCATTGCAGGACATTGAATAGCCAACCAATCCGCATTTCTGTATTTTTTGCTTGCATCATTTCCTGAAGCAGCATCACTGCCAGAGACACACAGACTTTTGCTGCTGGAACACATGAATTCTCTCAGCAGTCTTTAGCCAACCAATTTAAACGCAGTCAAATGGCAGAACAGAAATGTGTGCAGCTGATATAGCACGTTTCCTCTACACATTTTAGGTAGTTGATTTGTTGACTCATAACTGTACATTAGGTTGAAATGGAATGTATAGACTTTTGCAGCAATCCTGGATATGGAAGATGCTGTGTAGAATATAACTTAGAGGCACAAGTGCCATATTCGGCACAAAACTATGCATGGAATATTTCTAAAGAGTTTTACTGCTTTTAGGCTTTTTTCATTGGGATCCAATAGATCACGATAATGGAAAGGAGGACCTGAGTCCTGAGGCATTCAATAAACATTCAGAATGGAGAGCTCTGGAATGGAATGCTTTTTCATTTTTCTCTGCATGGACAGCATTTTGTCATTTTTTAGCTCAAACTGTTCATGATGGTCCATCAAACATGTATTAAATGTTGAACTTAGCAATACACGTATAGCTATATCAGAGCCTTGTACTTCAATAAGCTAGATTTGACTTCAATAAAGCCAGTGGGGTAGGATCTCATAATACTGAACTGCTAACAGCTCTGAATGACATTAATGTGTATGTGCTGCTCTCTAGTGGTAAGCACGACTTAGACTTGGTTTTACTTTTATTTTTTTATTAAATTTTACATTACAAGGATAAAAAGAAAAAGACAAGAAATAATGATAAAAAATAAGTACAAAGTCCATCAAACATGTATTAAATGTTGAACTTAGCAATACACGTATAGCTATATCAGAGCCTTGTACTTCAATAAGCTAGATTTGACTTCAATAAAGCCAGTGGGGTAGGATCTCATAATACTGAACTGCTAACAGCTCTGAATGACATTAATGTGTATGTGCTGCTCTCTAGTGGTAAGCACGACGGGCACAACTTTTTTTAAAGGTGAAATCAGCATAGACTTGGCTTTACTTTTATTTTTTTATTAAATTTTACATTACAAGGATAAAAAGAAAAAGACAAGAAATAATGATAAAAAATAAGTACAACACAATGCTTGTGATGGCAAAGGATTAAAAAGTCAACATTTGTGTTTGAATTACAGATGACTATATACAACAAATGACATTGTAACAGGCAGATAACAGATACATTGGGGCGACTCAAGGAGTGCAGCAGTCCCCGTCCACTTTTTTTAGTGCCCTTGGTTTCCTATGGGGATTTTTAGTTCTCGTTAAAGAATTATAAGCTATGAAACCTATCAGGTGATTCAGAACATTACAAACTTTGATTTGAATAAAGAAGTCTTTGAAAATCGGACAAAAAGACAAAGGTACCAGACAGCTTTCATAAGAACAAGGAATACAATCGCAACTACAATCAAATTAAAAAACAATGGAGAAATATAAGACTGTAGAAGGGGTCTTTTTGGTGCAATTTTCTTCGTGATTCTCTGATTGGTGAAAATTTCTGGTGGAAGGAATCATGGGTAATGTAGTTTTTCACTAGGAATTCCACTAATAAACGACAAAGGCATCTCATATATGCTAATACATGAGGTTAACAACATACCACCAAATGCCATCAATTAACAACCTCACAGTAGATCTGTTTTTAGCAGTTCATAACTTAAAATCATTAAAAATCAGTTCCCCGTGGAGAAAGTAAATTGGGATTTTTATTTTGACTCTTGCTCTCTATAACAGGTTGTTTAGCAACAAATAACCAATCATAACCCTGAATAGCGCCTGCTTCATTAAATATTTGGGAGTTTAGTACAGTCACAGAAACTCTTGCATTGTATTTAATTTCAACGTTTGAGGGAAAAATACATAGTTCAAACAGAAATGAATGGAAAATGCATTGATAACATTGCAGAATAGACCAAATTATTCTTACAAAAAGCCTATTCCGGACAGAGTGGATGGTGCATTGAGGAACGAGACGAGTCGATATTTAAACGCTGTGTTCCTCCAATCAATATCGACAAATATCCAAAAAAGAAGGTTAACCCAGAGTTTACAAATGTAGATTCTAAATAAACAGGGTTTCAGGCTAAAGTCTGAACAGTACAAAACATGAAAAAAGATAACCGAAGGTTTAGATTTAGAATGGGTTAACAATTTTAAGTGCAAAAAGTCATACTGTATCAGCTGTCAGTTTTTTCCCCATCATTTTTTCTGTCTTTTTTTTTTTCTAAACAAAAATTACTCCAAAGGCCTAATACATGGTTAGATGAACGGACTCTAAACATCATCAAAACTAGTTTGATTTTGGAACCTTTAATACATTTCTTAAACTGAAAAACAAATGTAAATGTAATGTAGATGACCTTTAAAACAGACAAAAATGCATAGCTAAAATATTCAACAGATCGCAAGATCTGGAGAGTGTTGATGAATTGGCTCTGAAAATAGAGCCTCTAATGTATTATACAGGTGAAGGAGGTGGGAATGACATGAGAGAATGTCCAGATGGAAAATAGAAATGCTAATATATCACGAGCAAAGAAATGCAAAATGGAGTGAACAGATGTTTCACTCAGAGAGGTATGAAGGGCTCCAAACAGGCGGACACACAAAACTATAATGTTCCTGGAGCATAGGTACAAAATGTCCGACAAAATGTAACGAAAGATTAAACCGTCTTGAAAAAGCAGGCTTGAAAAGGCAAAACAATGCATGCTAGTATTATCATAGCACAAGGAAAAGCATAGGTGAATATTTGAATATGATGGCGATCATGTAATTTACCAACCACACGATTGTCTGCTAAATTATATATATAGACTATAAAAGAACAAATAAAAAACACTCAACAGCATCATTTTCCAGTCCTGACGTCAAAGCTAAGTGCTGCTTCAGTACATGGAAAAGGTATTTTTATTTTATTTTTAGTTTAAAGATTACTTTCACAATAACTCTGATACTAAGCTCTAAATGTCTACCTGAATGATGATCCCAGTAAGAAAGATGAGCTTCTAATCACATTTATCTTCTTTACATCAAACAGGTTATGAGCCAAAAATGTCTTGCAAGAAATCATGCGGGCTTACAAACATCATAGACACATTGAAAACATAAATTCAATTGAAAATGGTTTTGCTTTATACTATTGGTGTGTGTCTCTGAGTAAGTCTATGTTGCTTTTATTAAAGACTCACAGTAGAAACAGCAAATAACTTATTATATTGATTTACTATTTGTTAAAACTGGCTTTGTCAATCGTAATTTCAAAGAAATAATAGCTTAGAATCACAGCTCAGGAGCTTCTGTGTGTATAAGAGGTTGATTATCACTTCATTTAATTGTAATATTATAGTTATTGTGCTGGTGTTGCTATTTAACTAAGTACTTTTTTATATAATAAGACTCATGTTTCTAGGTAATTGGACAATCTGGACTCAAACATGCCTTTGGATTTGCTAATGAGCAGGATGCGAGGTAGACTACCGATTGACTTGGTTGAGGAAAATGTTTGTAACATGGAGGTAGAGGAAGATTCAACTTCACACTACTACAGGAGAACAACTACAGAGTAAAACCAAGACAAACATTCATCCTGAGTCTGCTGTGCGCATCTGTGTGTAATGGTGTAGAACTTCCTCAATGCCTAGGGCTCGCCGAAACCAGATGCCTTGTCCTTCAGCAGATCAAGACACAGATGACAACTCCAACTTCCTGTGGACGAAACAATTCTAAGGTAACTCTAATGAAGCGGATTCACTTTGTATAGTATGTGTATTTGTTTATCTGACTATTTGTTTATCTATCCATTTGTGACCCTGGACCACAAAACAGGTCAATTTTTCGAAATTGAGATTTATACATCAACTGAAAGCTGAATAAATAAGCTTTCCATTGATGTATGGTTTGTTAGGATAGGACAATATTTGGCTGAGCTAGAACTATTTGAAAATCTGGAATCTGAGGGTGCAAAAAAATCAAAATATTGAGAAAATCGCCTTAAAAGTTATCCAAATGAAGTCCTTAGCAATGCATATTACTAATCAAAAATTATGTTTTAATATATTTACAGTAGGAAATTTACAAAATATCTTCATGGAACATGATCTTTACTTAATATCCTAATCGTTTTTGGCATTAAAAAAAATCTATAATTTTGACGATAGATAGATAGATAGATAGATAGAGGCAGACAGATAACATTATAGGGATAGTTCACACATAAATGAAAATTTTTCATTTACCATACTATGAAAGTCAATGACTACTGTCAACGGTTTGATTTCCAACATACTTCAAAATATCTTGTTTTGTACTCAGCAGAAGAAGGAATCTCATACAGATTTGGAACAACTTGAGGGTGAGTAAATGATGACAGATGTTTCATTTCGGGAGAACTATCCCTTTGAGTTAATAATGACAGAAACATTAAAGAAAACAAAAACAGATTAAACACGATTTGTGTGGAAGGAACAAACAACCATTCCCCCTAAACACCTTCTGTTCTGCCCTCCACACACAGAGAGAGGGTGAGCACAGGTTTGGAAAGTGCCAGATGGTTCTGTAACCTCACATGTCTGTCTTTCTGTCTCGTAGGGAGGTGTCAGTTCCTCGGCCTGCTCATTTCCTCAATGAAACTGTGAGAACAGCAGGCTCCTCTTGCTTGGATGCCCAGTAAAGCATGTGCAGTCTTCCCAGTTTGGAAAGCATGTGGGGCCTTGGCTTGAAGTCGGATGTTATGTGAAGCTCTTTCCCTACTGGGAGTTTCATAAGCGTTGCTACCTCGTTCCTCTTCATGGCTCTGTCCCTGGTATTCACATGCAGAACCATGTTGAATATATTAAGCCACATTATGCCGACACTTAATGACACTAAAATGATGCTAAACATTATCTCAGAACAAACCACTTTCATGAGACGTTTTTAACTGGTTCAAGTTCATTATAGTGGATTTATGAAGGCAGCTCCCCTCAAGTTCACATGGATATTGTTATTACTGTCTTAATTTTGAGCATTATATTGTTTTATCATTTGAAACCTAGCAAACGTATCAGTGTGAAATGCCATATTTTCTTTACAATAAATAACACTTGGCTTTCTGTTTTCTTAAATAATGCATTACAGAAGACATTCATATATGTTTAAACATGGCTTGTGTCCAAATAATTTTCGAGGCCATTGTAGTCTATAATTTCAATGCAACTAACAGCACTTTATCAAAATATTACACATAAATTATTTAAGTTATTTGAAGTATTTTAGATAGAATTTTTCATATTTTATATGTATTGCATCAAGATCAACCTCTTAAATCACTCATGTTTCCATACACTTGCAGGAAATAAAATCAAGGCAAAAGATGTATGTCTAAGACATTTTTCAAATACTATTTGAGGTCACTTGTCCCATGTTTTCCTTCCTTGTAACAAAATTAACTCGCAGTAATTCATAAAATGTAAAATGTTTAATGTTTTTCAGTAACAAAATCCAGTGAAAGACTTGCAGGCTGACATTTGGAGTAACAGGACTCAGCAGCGACCACATGAATAGCAGGTTGCATGAAGTGTGTTCTGTGTGTTTGTGTGGTTTGTGCCACAGGTCTGCATGACACAGAAGCAGTTACAAGCATCATCTCTAGCCATGTTGCCCATTGGCTTAGAATTAAATTAACTAAATCTTCAATGTTAAACATTGAAACATTTTCTTAAAAGATTAGACACCAAAACCCTGGGAGAAATATCATCAGGAGCTGTTGTAGAACAATAGCCTGCAACAGTTTGTGGGCCTATATACATTATACAATATCTTAATAAATTATATTATCGTTTTCAAAAGAATGAACGCCCTGAAATAGAGACAAGATCAAACGCATTAATACGGAACATTTTTCGCAACAGTTTCAATTCAAAAGTGACACATGAGTTCACCATAACAATAAATAGAAGAGCTTTAAAGAGCAAATATACAGTGGTGTGAAAAAGTGTTGGCCCCCTTCCTGATTTCTTATTTTTTTGCATGTTTGTCACACTTTAATGTTTCAGATCATCAAACAAATTTAAATATTACACAAAGATAATGCAAGTAAATACAAAATGCAGTTTTTAAATGATGATTTCATTTATTAAGGGAAAAAACTTTGCCAAAAAATATCTTGATTATCCCCAAGACTTCTGGGCAAATACTCCGTGGACTGATTAGACAAAAGTTGAACTTTTTGGAAGGTGTGTGTCCCGTTACATCTGGCGTAAAACCAACACAGCATTTCATAAAAAGAACATCATACCAACAGTCAAACATGGTGGTGGTAGTGTGATGATCTGGGGCTGCTTTGCAGCTTCAGGACCTGGACAACTTGCCATAATTGACGGAACCATGAATTCTGCACTCTATCAGAAAATCCTGAAGGAGAATGTCCGGCCATCAGTTTGTGACCTCAAGCTCAAGTGCACTTGGGTTATGTAGCAAGACAATGATCCCAAACACACCAGCATGTCTACCTCTGAATGGCTCAAGAAAAACTAAATTAAGGTTCTGGAGTGGCCAAATCAAAGTCCGGACTTAAATCTGATTGAGATGCTTAAACAGTCCATTCATGCTCGAAAACCCTCCAATGTGGCTGAATTAAAACAATTCTGCAAAGAAGAGTGGGCCAAAATTCCTCCACAGCGATGTGAAAGACTCATTGCCAGTTATCGCAAAGACCAACCAGTTATTAGATTTAGGAGGCAATTACTTTTTCACGTAGGGCCAGGCAGGTTTGAACAGCTTTTTTCCCTTAATAAAATAAATAATAATTTAAAAACTGCATTTTGTATTTACTTGCATTATCTTTGTGTAATATTACAATTTGTTTGATGATCTGAATCTTTTAAGTCTGACAAATATGCAAAAAATAAAAAAAACAGGAAGGGGGCCAACACTTTTTCACACTACTGTAGCTCATTTTGTTCATACAAAAAGGATACACTGACATATCCCCATATTAACTGGGTGACTGATGTCCCTGTGTCTAATGTGTATTGTGCCTTTTATTGCATGTATTCTGTTTTCAAGTTCACATTTACTGCATTTTCCTATTGAATGTAGGAAGCTTATGTGCTTGAAATCCAGTGTATTATTTGCAGTTACACATACACAGTCAAATCCTCAGAGCTGGATCTGTTAACAGAGGTGAATGGTCCGGATTTTATTTGCAAAACAAAGCCTTCATGAGAATCATTGCACACATGCTACAGCTGTCCCGCTTCTTGTACCTGTTGTTTAAGGAGAGTTTCCTGAATAGTAAAGGGAAATTACTCCAAAAATACGAGTCCTTTTTCTTCTTCTTACTCAACAAAACTAGGGAGAGGCCAAGTATCATGTATCCTCCAGCAAACATGGGATTTCAAATTTCATTTTCTTTTTTTTGTTGTTCTTGCAGCTGTCCTGAGAAAGGAGGAGAGATGGACATTTAAATGCCAACTGGCTCTTACCTCTCTGCAAACTGTCCTCCCTTCCCTCTGGATCCAATCAGGGCCTGGCCTCAGCCCATTCTCTGCCTTCTCGTGATCCCTTTCGTTGCAAATATTATATTTATCCAGAGGTAGGGGGAAAAAAACCTCTTCACTATCCGACCTACAGACACATGTTGAGTATTTTCTCCTCCTTGAGGATTGAAATCCTTTAATTTCTATTTCTAAAGTAAATTTCCACACAGTAGGCATTTTATCTTACATGGCGAAGTGTAATCCACGTCCACACATTGGTAACGTCCCTGCAATTTTCCATTACGGAAAACAAACAGTCCAGAAGTGATGGCTCCTCTGTCCAATAACTAGCCCCTCTCAGTATACAGAAGTGTGAAGCAATAAAAACAACATTCCTTAATTTATAAAAGGCTGCAACTTGTCCTTTGAAAGCAATTCCTGAAGTTAACATTGTGTCTGGAGTTGTGAATCCATTACGCAAGCTGCTGCAAAACAACAGGAAAAAAGGAAAAAGAAAAAAAAAACAGGCAGCAGACACATGCCGAACATTTCTCTGATGCTGTTTCCTTGAGGTTTCTCCTTTGTCTATCTGTACTGAGGTGAGCCTGTGCTGTCGTCGGACAGAAGCCCGTCCAGGTCGTCCTCCTCAAAGCCGTGAAAGGTGGACGCCTCGCTTTCTGACGTGTCGCCGAACATGTCCAGAACTCCGCCCGTCCTCCTCTTCGCCCTGGTCCCACCGACGCGATCAGCTGACATGCATGACGGACATATCAGCATCACAGTGGAAACACACACAAGTAACACTGCAGTCAGCTAGGACTCACACTCCTCTGAGCTTTGGACAACTTGCAGTCTTTGCAGTTACTCATACATTAAGGGACTATGGCTTGCATGTCTGATTGCCTGAATATGTGCTTATCATTGGCTGTAGATTAAAGTTGCAGCGCATTTTATAGCTGTAAGTGAATCATGAATCTTTTAAAGGGATAGATCACCCAAAATGAAAATTATGCCATTATTTACTCACTGAATGATGTTCCAAACCTGTTTGACTTTTTTTTCTACTGTGGAACACAAAGTCATACAGGTTTTGAAGTGAATAAATAATGACAGAATTTGCATTTTTGTGTGAACTATCCTTATAAACTATATATATATATATATATATATATACTGTATATATAAAAATGTTTGTTTTTTTGTTTTTTTGTTTTTACTGAGGAATACATAATTTGGTCTCTCCCTGTTCTTGCTATTTACCATTGGATTATGAGAAGGCAATGGATCACACAGCCAAGAAAGAAAAACATAAAGAATGGAAGCACATGAGCAAAATAAATATGAGAATATTTTGCGCACATGAACTGAGATAACTGATTATGCCCTAAACAGTTAAGAACTATGAGCATGTTAGGAGTTCAAAAACAATTTCAGGAAATAAATGTGGGATAGTTAATGCTTCCAGGATCATTTGCTAGGAAAAGAACTTGTGTAAAAGAAAAATGCAAAACACAAGCACTCAAAGAGATGAACAAAAAGGCCACATGTCACATAAATGCTCATTCTCAACACTGCAGGATTTGGCTCACACGTCTACACTTACAAACACAATGCACATTCTAAATGTAAGCATGGGATTTTTTTTTTTCATCAGAATTTTTTTTTTTTTCCAGACCAAATGGATTGGTTGGAAATGTAAATTATCCTAATTACAAAGAGCAAATGTTCTCAGGTCTGCCATCTTGAAAACGTTTCGCATCAACCTAAGCAATCTAAATTAGATGTACAGTAAGATGCTTTTGGACTTTGTAGTCTTGGCATCAGTCATGAAAAACGGCATGACTTAACGGTTTCGATAGAATCCCATGACACTCCCACAGCAGTTTCACAGAATTGCACCTACTTTCCCTTCCAACTCTCATTAGAATGAACTCATAGCAGAATATTAATGTCAAACAGGTGATTTTTACTTAAATGTCTTTTGTATGGCAACAAAACAATCTTAGCAGTAAAACTGGATATTGGAAAATTAGAAAGAGACAATAACAAAATAAAGAAATAAATGAAGATTTTAATGAAAAGTATATATTTTCATTTCCATTATTAATTAAACAAAAAAGAAAAAATATAAAGTTAACATTTTTTATATTTATATAATTTTTTTATTTTTATTTCCATTATTTTCACTGTCTAAAAAAAGTCGATATTATTTCTAAGTGTGTTTTTGTTGCACAAAATATTTTTAAGTAAAAAAAATCATATAGTAATC